ATCCACACCTACTGGCTAAAGAAACTAACAGCAGTGCATGAATGCCTAGCAGCACAGATGATAGAGCAGTTGCCCGAGACTCAAGGTCTAGATAGACCAATCTGAGCACAGCCTAGATTGACTACAGGAAAACCTATGACTCAGTGCCACACACATGGACCTGTGAATGCCTGGCGCTATACAAAGTCGACAGGACACTAAGGACCTTCCTCAAGAACTCAGTGGGACTGTGGAAGATAACACTGGAAATCAACTCAAGACAGTTTGCACAAATGGCCATCAAGTGTGGCATATACCAAGGTGATGCACTGCCCCCGCTGCTGTTCTGCATAGGTTTGAACCCCCTCAGCCAGATAATCACAAGGACTGGATACAGGTACAAGTTCAAGAGTGGAACTACCACTGTATGCTAAGAGTGAACAAGACATCACCTCACTGATCCACCTGACATGGATCTACAGTGAGGATGTTGGGATGTCATTCAGACTGGAGAAATGTGGCTGGATGGTAGTAAAGAGAGGAAGGTAGTTAAGGCTGATGGGGTGGAACCAACAGTGGGCCACATAACAGACATAAAGACCAGCTACAAGTACCTTGGTATCCCGCAGTCACATGGGAACCACAACCGCAAGGAAGACAGCAACATCCAAGTACCACCAAAGGATAAGACAGGTCCTGAAGAGCCAGCTCAATGGGAAGAATAAGATCCACGCCATCAACACATAACGCTCTGCCAGTCATCAGATACCCTGCCGATATAGTGAGCTGGCCAAGGGAGGACATGGAGGCTGGTGATATGAAGACCTGGGAGCTCCTCACAATGTACAGAGGTTTCCATCCCAAGTGCAATGCCCAGAGACTGTACACCAGCCAGATGGCGGGCGGGGTCTGGTGAGTGTCAAAGCCACTGCCTGGATGAAACCCAGAGCATCCAGGAGTACATCAGCAAGATGGCACCCAAAGATGAGCTGCTGAGAGAAGGCCTGAGGCAGCGGCAGACATGGGAGGAAGTTCAAGCAGAGGAAGTGCCATGGCAAGACAAGACCCTGCATGGGATGTAACTTCGACAGATAGCTGAGGTGGTTGACATTGGGAAATCCTACCAGTGGCTGAAAAGGGCTGAACTAAAAGACACACCGAGGCACTGATCATAGCAGCACAAGAACAGGCACTAAGCACCTAAAAGACACACCGAGGCACTGATCATAGCAGCACAAGAACAGGCACTAAGCACCTAAAAGACACACCGAGGCACTGATCATAGCAGCACAAGAACAGGCACTAAGCACCAGATCCATAGAAGCAGGGCTCTACCACACTAGACAGGACCCAAGCTGCAGATGGGGCAGAGAGGCCTCAGAGACAGTCCAAGACATAGTGGCAGGGTGCAAGATGCAGGCAGGAACAGTGTATTTTATTTGTTTGTGCTAGAATTATGTCCTGTCTTTGGTTCATGAGCTCAAAAATGTTTACGTTCATTCAGAAATTGAAATGAATGTTTAAGATATGTTTAAGATGTGAGATGGCAGCTATGTAAATCAGTCTAATAAATAACAAAGATAGCAGAAGAATTATGTAAACTCAAGTACTGCTGTGAGTGTAGAAATGCAACAACAACCAAACCCAAGAAGAGATGGAAGAGGCCATATGGGCTACCCCATGTAGCTTCTTGCATCCTGCTTTCTACATAGTGGTTTAAATGATCAGAAATATATAGTGTTAAACAACAAACCTTCATTTATTGATGCAGTGTTTGGATAGAAATGAAAACATACAAAGTGTAGGCAACTTGTCTAAAAATTTTCCAAAATGCACTTTTAGGTATCAGTTGTTTCATGTATGCTTACATATTTTAAATGGGAATCCACTATCTATGAGCTTAAGGCAGGGGTTCTCAAACTACGGCCTACAGGCTGGATACGGCCCGCCAGGGTCATTTATCTGGCCCGCCCGCCTGATTGGCCGCCACTGCTGTCTGTCAGAAGCGGAAGTGTCGGGGCTGTGTCAGGAGCTGCAGGTGATGCATGAGGAGGGAGATCGCAGAGCTGGACTATTCTACATGACAGGTATGCCGGGTCCGGTGGCTCTCCTCCTCTCCTCATACTCCGCGGGAGGGACCCTCATGTTTTTTTCAAACTAT